AAAAAAAAAAAAAAAAAAAAAAAGCCTTCCTTTTTCCTTTGCGGTTGTAAGGGGTATTATGAGGGGGTTGATTTGGGCGCAAAATGGTGACCCGTGACAGCTGAATTTGGATTGGTGCGTTGTGTGGGAGACTTTTTATCTCTAGGCGATATTTTGTATTGTTATGTGAGATATAAGCTATAGCGTTGAATTGGCTTTGTCCGTTAAGTGTGTCATATTATTCCGTAAAATAAATTAATTAATAAATAAAGTTAGGCTTCTGATTTGGGCACTCACTAGACGACTTCTGCGAAAGACTATTAGAGCGGCATCAGCTGTTCGTTTTTGTATAAGTTTTGTCAGTTTTGTAAGCATATTTTTTTTTTAAGGTCCGTTCAGTTTGTTAATTTAAATTTTTAATTTAAATTAAAATATAATTTTATGTGAATATTTTTTGTTATAATAAAAAAATTAAATGTTATTATTTTTAAATATTTTTTACTATAATAAAATTTGAATAATGAAATGTTTAGAAACGTACACTCTAATATACTAATACTCTACAGTTAGAAGCTTCTATTGAAAAATGCACTTACAATCAAGTCATTTTAAACCTGTTCTTGATCTAAATTCTACAGTCTCTACTTAAAGTACTCGTACGTTTCTACAGAGATCAGAAGTTACGTAACATAGGATGTGCTCCCTAGGGCATTCATTCCACTTGTAAACTTCAGTAGTTTAAATACAAGTCTAACCCGCACCAACCCTTGCGGCCTAATTAATTAGTTCTCCAATTAGGTCCTCTCTCTCTCTTAAGGGCGTTCATTGCATTTGTCAATTGGATTAATCTGTATAATTTAATCTGTTACGTAGATTAAATTAAATTAAAAAAATTTTAAGTTGCTAATAGATTAAAATTTTTTCGATTCATATGATCCATCAATTCAAACTATATATATTGTATATATATTTTTCATATATGTTTAATTAACACATGTAACAGATTTTTTTTTTCAATTATATATAAGACATATATAATTTAAGTGTGTATGTAATTATGTATGGAATCTCAACACTATTTTAATTTTATGTTATGCTAGTTTGTGTTTAATTTTGTTATTAATTTTATGAGCATATTGTCACACCCCGGATCAGGGGTCGGTGACATGGAGGCTCAGTTAAGGGTTAAAATAAGACATTAAAGAAAATACCTGACGAACGAGCCCCTACACTTTCTCAATTAAAACGAACTATAGGATCTTTCCACAGGATCTCATTACTGTACACACATGACATGTAAATAAATCCTTACAGTTACAGACATCATCCACAGTCTAGATATCCGAATGACAGGAGTTTACAGAATTTACAAATTCTTACATTTGTACTCACATGAGGATGACACAATCCTCTACAAAATCAAGTGGTAGCACTTAGCTACTCCGCACTGCTCCTAGAGTCTCCTGGAAGCTGGGGTTAACATTTTAAAACAATGAAACGTGAGCGAAATGTTCACTAGGATATATTTGAAATAACTTTATAAATAAATGAATAAATAAATAAGCAAATGAATAAGACATTCAGTTCCAACACAACAGTCGGAACCTCATATCCTTTTTCTGAAAGGAATATAAACTGAAAACTACTGTATTAAGGCATCAGCAAGTAATTTGTACAAATTACTTACACAACCAAGTGCACAAGCCTTCCCAGGCTGGGTTTCGGGTTCTGCCCCCGAGAATGCACTCTCTAGATCCTATCTCGGCCATCAGCGGGCTTACCGGTTCGCAAGATCTCTTTCATTAAGAAATCATTCATTAAACATTATGAAATCGTTATTATAATCCCACGAACTACAACAAGCCGTGGGTCCCCATGAACTACAACAAGCCATGGGTTCCGTGAACTACAACAAGCCACAGTTTTTATAAATATTTTTCTTTCGCAAACAAACCCGTTTCTTTAAAACATTTGCAATGCCAAAATCCTTTTGAAAATCAGGCTTACAAAGAAAGGCAGAGAAATCCTACCTCGAATTTACCAAACCTGTGGCTAGCGGCACACTGTCCCAGCTTCTGCTTCCTCAAGCCACTCAGTCCAAGTCCTCAGCTATCACTGTTACAAGATAATACTTTAGGATTCCAATCTCATTCCTAAAGTAATTCAGACTCAATTATGTCATTTGATTTCCTATTAGTGTGTCATAATCAATTTCATGTTTCAAATCATAATTCCAAGGATTTTAATTCCAAAACATGGATTAAAGATGCTAATCCATCGACTCTAAGTCTCCAAATAAAGCTAATTTGGGTCATCCTAGAAAACAGGGATCAAAACAGCAATTTCAGGCCAAACAGGGTCAAACCCCGTGTACACCGGTCGACCGGTGACAGAGCAGTGCATCACCACCGGTCGACCGGTGGTGTGCAATCCGGTCGACCGGACCGGTCGACCAGTAGCCTCAATGCAGTCCGGTCGACCGCATCAGTCGACCGGTGAAGAACTCCAGTGTGAGAAAACTCGCAGAAATCAGTTTGAAAACCTGCAAATCCAATCCCAATTCACAATATCTCAAGGGACAACACCTGAATCCGGGTTCTAGGCACTAAAATAAGTCTAAAGAATCCAAGATCCCCAATTTCTACCATAGTTTTACTCAAAATCCATCAAAATTCGTTTCGAACCAAAAATAAGTTTTAGAATCTGAAATCTAGAGATTCAAGAGAGGTTTTTCAGAAATCTTACCTTGAATCATTCTCTTGACGTTGAAAACTCTTTGAAACTTTCCTTTGGTTCGAAATCCGGTTGATTTGAGACAAAACAGGAGAGAGAACCGAGAGAGAGAGTGAGACAACGAAGAGAAGAAAAGAGAGAGAGAGTGGCACGGGAGGAAAAAGGGAAAAAGAAAGAAAAGGAAGAAAAGAAAAAGAAAAAGAAAAGAAAAGAAAATATACAGGTACCAACATTTAAAAAAATAGTACAGAAATGCGCCTATACACACTTCTGGATTGAAATAAAATTACTAAGAATATTTAAATACCTTAAAATTATTTAAATTACACGTCAAAAACATTTATTAATCAAAACCCAATTAATTAAATCAGATTAGGCACACTAATAAATCTTAATTATCTCAGTTAATTCTATTTAATTTTTCAGGGTATTACACATATTAAAAAAAGAGATGGAATACAAGAGTCAAGGTCTAAGATATAAACTAATTTGCAAATTCACATAATCCAATCTGCAAAATCCGTTGCGGATTGAATTTGATTGGAGTCTAATAAATTAGTATCGGATTGATATTTTTCATCCATAATAACATATTGGATTACAAATTAACCCCTAATCTGTACAATCTAATCTATGAAATATTGAATACCCCTTGGTCCAAGACATTAGAACCATCAATATGACCAAAGAGGACAAAGAATAAAAAGAAGAAACTAGCACACATGATCCTCATTCATCTACAGTACTCTTGCACCAATTTTTCCAAAATAAATGATTGCACATGAACTCCATTTAGTTTATTGGGATTTTTGTTTCCCTTAATTGGCTAAAACGTTAAACGTGTGTCACAATCTTATTGCATATCCTAATCATATGGTTCTTTCTAAAGAAAGAAAAATGCATCTGTACCACTTGCATTTTCTACCTCTTCATAGCAATCGAGAAACAATTTTTTTTTTTTTTTTTTTTTGCTAATAGAAAAACTGTAGTCATTTTTTTTTTGGGTAAGAACCGTAATGTTTTACACTATGGAAAAAGTGGTTATAATTTATCGATCTAAGATGTTTAATAACAATAATTTGGCTATTGTAAGAGTGCTGACGTATAACATGCGGTAATGGATGACATAAGATGAAAGTTCTGGAGGAGGATGAAAGATTAGACAACGTGCAAAATATCCATTATCAGTACCATATTATCTGTCCAAATTATGCTGTGCTAGGATCTTACCGCTTACGAATGGATATATACATTTTATGTTGTGCTAGCAAGTTTAAA